TCTTACTGTGCCTAAATTATAACTGCGCATGGAGATGTAATGTATAAAGTGAGTTACCAAGTAAAAATAATTTCCTTCTATTTTTTTTATTAATTATTGTTGTTAGTCTATTACTGTATCTAACTAAGATCTGCAGATATGATACAAGAAACAATGGATAAAATTATTTAAATTGTAAATCCCTGTTAACTATTTACATTGTCCGGACTGTTGTCCTCATCTTTATTATAATATTCATGATGTTTCAGCTGTTGTATGCTCTGACCTTCTTCAGGTGATATATGTTGGAATTTCAAACCAAACTCTTTACTTCCAATGTATATCATCTGAAGAAGGCCGGAGCATACAACGGCCAAAACATTGTGAATATGACAATAAAGATGAGGACAACAGTCAGAATAGTGAAAATAGTTACAGTATCTCATCTCAGAAATAAAGACAGACCCTGTTAATTATTTATCCAAAAATCCATTTATTCATGACCTTCACCTATGTTATCAAATGCTTTCTGGATAATTTCTGAAAAATATTAATTTCACCTCTTGACACTCCCACATACAGACATGATTCATTGATTTGTTTTTTTATGTCTTATTAACCATTTGCAGGTGACATGAAGCCAGAAAATATCTTTGAATGTTAAGAATTTTGGGGAGATTTACTGATATATGTCCGATTAATTAACCCATAGCTGAGAGAAGTGGATTTATACCTTTCCTGGGGTTATTTGCACTTAAGTGATTATAATGAACTCAATTGGAATTTGAACTCTGTTCTCCATTTTCCAATTGCCAACCATTATCCATTACACCACCTGCACATGCAAGCTTACAGCACCTGGTATTGTCAAACGGTGACCCATGTATGTACTAATCAGACTCAACATTGCTTAACTTTGGTGATTGGATCAGAACTGATGTTTCAATGTGGTATGACTTTAAGCCCACACACACCTGGTCAGTGGTTGGTTAATATATAACCACTTCTCACAAGACAAGTTGCTGAAAATGGAATCACCTTTGTAGCTCAAATTGTTATTTCTTTAAGTTTCTGTAAGTTATTTCTTTAAGTATATCTGTCACCATTTCTGGGAAAATAACCCTCAATTTTACACCTGGAGAAGGCTGCAGAATGGATCAGCCAAAATATTGGGGTAGCAATTGGATTAGATCAGTTGTCTGAACAGCATTTGAAAGCAATTCTCTACTTTGTTTAAAACTGTATTTCTTAACACTTACAATTAGAACAAATCATATGTCTGAGTGACAAAGACAATATATTTGCCTTTGCTAAAGGAAGAAAGATACAGACTCTGACAACTCATTGCATTCTGACTTGAAGAAGGCTGTAGAGTTGACCAGCCAAAATATTGTGGTAGCAACAAAAGCAATACACACAATTAGTTCAGTAGTTAAAAGAATACTTGGATTGATAGTAAATCTTAAAAAATTAGAGAAAATATCTTCTAATCATATTATCATGAATGTTATGAAACATTTTTTTTTAAATTGTTGTAAACGCATTTTCATGATTTTCTAGTTCTAGGTAAAAAATAAATTATCACAAAATTATATCTTAAAAATTAAATCTGCGAAATATTTCAAATATCTTTGATTTGTTCAGTTTTTTCCTACTTCCAGAATGAATTTACTGGAATCTGCCTTACCAATGATGCACACACATTTTACTGTGGCTTTTGCTACCAGTTAACTTTAGATTAGTGGTTCTCAAACATTTTTTTCTATGGGCCTCATTTTTGAATTAAAATTTGCTCACCCCTCACTAAATTTTATGTGATAAAAGTATATTTAAAAATAAAAAACAGAGGATTAAATGGAGATAACCACAGTTTTGAAGTCAGAACATTATCAAATATAACTCTCTCCTCCAATTTGCGGAGCTTAGTTACTATATTCTTAATACTTGATATAATGCAAAAATATCACAATGATAAAATTGGTCAATAAATATTTATAACTATTTATACTGGGACTCATGCATGCAATTATAAGTAATCCATAATAATATTTTAAATTTTGAAATCATATTTATTTTTGGCATATGAATTCTTTGAAACTGTTTCTAAATCTTTGATTGTCTTTCAATCATTCTGCCTCACCTATCCTCATCCACTGCACCACATTGTTTGGGAACCACTGCTTTAGATTATGAACATTCATGAACCAAGTTGTATTATTTGAAAGTTTCTGGTAAAACTGATCATTTTGCAAGCAGGAAAACAAAAAAAAATATTGTTTTCTTTTCCTACAAAGTGAATTTAATATTCACCTGCATATATCTGAATAAAATGCTTCCTGTTTGTCATGATGCTAGGAAAAAATGACAGTAAATCAATAATTTATGATTTCTGTTGCTTTTCAGCATTTATCATCAAAGCTTTGAATATAGACTGAGAAGTAGGAAGGAATAAAATTGGGAATTGCTTTCTTTGTTAGATTTACAGGAATGTTATCCTTTTTCTCCATTTTGTCTATTTCAGTCCTAGCAGACAAGAATACCGTAAACTGATGCCAAGTATTCATCACATTGTGAACCAACATTTTAAGCATATGATACGAGGAAGACCACAGCTGAATTGGTGTGACAAGTCAGTTCAGGTAAATAATGATATACAGTGTAACCCGGATATAAGAGAGTTGTCGGGACTGGAGAAGAAGTCTCTTATATCCGGGTTTGGTCTATTTTATATACATTAACACAGGCTCTAATTTGGGACCAGAGAAAATCTTTCTTATATCCGGGTTACACTGTATGACAATTTATTTTCCACCAGTAATTCTCATTGACCTACAAGAAAAAAAAAAGTCTTGTCGCTGTTTTTAACATGATCCTTTCAGAGTATTTTTTCAATACTTATAGTAAAATAGCCATTAATTTTTATGCACTACTGACTTTTTCTTTCTTTGTTTAATATAATTAATATAGAGTGGGTAAATTTTATATTGATTTTATCCTTTTAAAATGAATTTAGATCAGACCCATATCAAACAGAGTATGTTGTTTGAATTTTAAAAAGCACCTCATTAACAGAAGTGGCCAAAAATATTTGTTGGAAATGAAGGTTTAAGTTTTCAATAGGGTGAGTTTTGATTGAGAATTTTTTTCTCTGAAAGATTCCTCTCTGTGTAGATAACTAAGATCAATCAATGTTGAGCTTCTGTAAACAATAATTGAGAAAAATGATGTTTCACATATTGCCTGAGTCATTCAAACAAAGATTATAGCATGAAATCTAGAAGATTTGATTCAACTTTCTTACTCTCCTGAACTTGCTGTATCTATCTTTTTTTTTTTCTTTTTTCAGACCATTGCAACATCTTTTTTTTTAGAAGGAAAACAGTTTATTCATCTTGAAGTGGTTAAACTGATATTGAATGTTTCTTTGCATTGAAAACCAAAGAATTTTACAGCCAAGGGGATCATCAATTTTCACCCAAGGGGATCATCAATTTACTAGATAGATGGTATTATGTTCTCAATAATGTGGGGAAATATTATTTTGATTAAATAAACCAATTAAAGCCAAAGAAACATTTTTTCCATCACTTTTAGCAAATTTTAGACAGATAAATTATAAATTTAGCACAGAATTAAACATTTTGCAATAATCTGAAATATGGAAAATTTTACCAAAAACTAGGAAGAGTTTTCACAACCTTAGAATTAAAATCTGTCATTTTCTTTTCATGTGTTTCAGCAACCCACTCATATATCTCACTTTTTATGATCCTCTTATTTCTTGGCTTTTTAAACAGCTTCAGTATATCTTAAGTGTCATATTTACTTAGGAGTTAATCCAATGAAACCTCTGATGAAATTTACTTCTACCATAAAAATATAAAAGTACAAACTTTCCAAACAATATTCTGCCACAAAGAAATTAATAAATAGACAAGCAGTGTAATAAAATGGCCATTAATTTATGGACGAATCACTAGAGGAACAAGATATACAGAAGGATGGTTTGCCTATCATCCAGTTCACACTCTTCCCCTGTCTTTTAAACCAGAGTAGAGGTTCATCTCTTGTTTCCTGTTCAAGAATGAGTTTCCAGTCCCCTCAAAAGTCTACTTCAACTCTATATAATGTCTCCACCTGAACTCTGAAATTTTACTTTTAGAGGGAATTCTCCAAACCAGTTTTTGAAAATAACTTTCATCAGTTTGATTATGTTACTTGCTTGCACATAAGTTATGCCAAATGAATTAAAAAGATCAACTGAACCAGACTTACATGTGCAATTTTCTACTAAAACATAAAAGTGATTTATTTAAACAAAATCTGATGGTTGACAACATGAAATGTAAGAGATCATCTTGGCAAATGACATGACTCGCTAGAAATTACCAAAGGTCAGTTGTCATCCATATATGATACTATGTATAAGGTGTAATTAAAAGAGAATGAACACTTTTTGGAAGATCAAAACAAATTGATTGAAGTTAGCCCTGCTTTCAATTAACCCAATTGAAAGTAGCCATTGACAATGGAAAAGCAATCAAGATTTATTAAATGAATGGATATAATATCCTATCAGGACCACATGTTTCTTTGGTGGCCAGATAAGTCATGACAACTTGGCTGAGATTTCAATCATCTGCCATATTGGCCAGACATTGCATCTTTGAATTGATATTTATTCTGGTCCTTAAAAATTTCTCTTATGAAAGATTTTAATCTTCCTGAAAGACTGCAAAAGGCACCAGGAACAAGATCTTTTTGTTTAAAAAAGATAAACATTTCTGGAGAATGGAACTATGAAATTGGCTGAAAGATGGACAAAATACTGGAACATGACAGTAAATCTGTTGTTGTATGATGTTAATGTTGAAAAGTTAAAAACAAAATTGACTTTTATTTTATGAAATAAGAACGTGCAGGTGGTGTAATGGATACTGGCTCAGAATGAGAAATTTCAGAGCTGATTTCAAATTCCAGTTTAATTACATTCACTTATGTGCAAATACCCTTGAAAAAGGTATGAACCTATCTCTTCTCTCCCTAGCAATGGGTTAAATAGTAGCACTTGTATCTGGAAAAATCATGGTTATTCTCAAAAAATTGTTAATACAATATTCACTCACTGAATTATTTAAAGCTGAAACCTATTTTGGATTGTAATAACTGTTATATACTATACCTATGAACACTAATGGGTATGTTCTAATCCTCATGAATATGTTAGACACTATTGTACGTGGTGGTGGTGGGGGGTATAATAGGCTGTCCAAGTAGTCCAACACTAGAAGTGGTTTACCTACTTCACGCCACTGGCGAGTATTATATTTTGTTGATGTGATAAATATTATCATTCTATTTCCAACCTCCGTTTTGGTTATTCGTCATTCAGTAACTTTTTTTTAGGTTACAACAATAACTGACAGAGGAGTTTTAAACCTTAAAAAAACAAATTGATTATGAAATAAACTGAATATTTTTGCTACCATATATTATTTTCCAAACATTACACAAATGTTGTTTATTATTTATTTTCTAAGTCAGGTGTTAAATTTTCTGAAGATATTATTTATAAAAAAATAATAGAAAAATAGAAAATAGATTACTTTGTGCTACTTGAGTGCTTGCCACAAAATTCAGATCTGGTATTTATAAGGAATTGAACAAATTATCAATGTGAAGTTTAAAGTTATTGTCATCAGATTGTTATGCCTTTTTTTTCTCTTCTGATAAAAATAATTTTATATTTTTTGCTTTTACTAAATAATCCTATGTGTTAATTAAAAATTGTGGCTTGAGATGCATTTATCATTTCAATAAAGTTAAAGTATTTAAGAAATTGTAAATTTTTTCCCAAAGTTTTATTAATGTAAAAATAAATTTTACACACAGCCCAGAACCTATGAATGTTAGAATATCAGCAATATTTAAGATGTTTACAAAAAAATTTTAACTCATTTCATCAGAATGATATGAAGGGATGCTGAAAATTTTCAACTCAACCTATTTCCAAAATCTGAGTAAATGGTCAAACATGGTAAGAGAATCTCTTGTTGGTTGAACCAAGAACTTTTAATACCTCTTCATATTGTCTTTAAAGTCTAATTTTAAAAGTTGGTGGGGTGGACTCTGTGATATTTGAACATTAACCAGACATTGAATGAAAACCATTATTTTTTTTTAATTCATTTTCTTTAAATTTTATTTTCAGAATTGGTCCCCTCCTGGCTGCAAAAAACTGAATGACTGTTTAAAAGGACCACCACCCAAACCTCATCTTTGTGTGTGGCCACATTAACAAAATGAAAGTGAAGATTTTTTTCCAGCTTGTTAGAGAGAGGGAAGTAATTTTACTGTAATTTTCAAAAGGTAATGACAAATTGACCCTCAAGTTCTCTTATTCAAAATTTAAGAAAACAAAAATGAAATTCCTTTTTTCATAATTCAGTAATTCTATTTAATGATTTTGTAAATTATTCCATTAAAAAAAGTGTTGATGTATATAAGCCATTGACTAAATTCACACATGATTAAAGCAAAACTTGCCTAATATCAGTCACTGAGCTGAACATCTTTCCAACCAATAAATATAAAAACAATAAGTTACATGATCATAAGTTATACACTAAGAATACTTCAGGGATTAGTATAAAAATTTGTTATGCAAGATTTCCTAAATTTATGACAGGAAATTTGACAATGTTTAACCTTTGTGCCTCCTCCACCCAAACTGTCACAAAAGGACAGTTATTTCCTTGACACCACGATTAACTATATACACTTTTGACTCACTCATCAATGTTTGCTTTAAAAAGGGATGATTAGAATTTTTAAATAAAACCAAGAAACACCACTTCTACCGAGGCTGAAGTACATGTGGTGAACCTCTAAATAAATAATACACCAATGATTCCACTACACACAATACGGTGGAGTAATGGGTAGCGGCTCGGATCGAGGAATCGGAGAGCCGAGTTCAAATTCCAGTCGAATTGCTTTTAGAAATTAACACAATATGGGAACCAGTAATAAGGAGTGCCAGAGAAAAGCGATAATAACAACAAAAATTGAAATATGAGCCCCGGATAAAAACATCAATGATAACAGCAAAAATTGCAATATGAGCACTGGTAAAAAATGGTTGCTGAAGACATTGGGTTTATAATACCCAGAAATTCATACACAGATGTCCTCAAGGACACATGACACTGTGGATAAAGGTTAGTTAGTTAGATCCAGTGACAGGACCGAAAGAGTGTGAGTTCAGTACCTGGTTAAGGCGGTGGAGAACTTGGAGAGGGGAATTAACAGGAGATAACTGATATCCATTAAACATAGCACGTGGAACTAGATCAGTCTACCCCAGTGAACGAAATAACCACCTGAAGAAGGCTGAAGTGTACAACAGCCGAAATGTTGTAATAAATATGGTGACAAAGATGAGGACAATAGTCCGAATAATGTAAATAATGTATCACATTGTATGTGGTTCATATATTTTTATAATCTTGTAAATAAACATTGCTGAGGGAGTCAACAGTGAATATGGTAATAAGTGTCAAGGGAATAACCATCTTTTTTTTTGTTTTGTAGGCATGAAGGTTAAACATAGTTACCAAACAAATTTCCACCTATGAAGGACTGCAATGGGAGGGATGTGTGGGAATGTGGCCTTGCCCACATTAGCCCACTTAAAATGGGGATGCTCAGAAAGAAGGAGTGACAGCTAGACAAATGCTGCCTACCCCCACTCGCTGGGAAAGCTGCAGCAGTATAATCAAAGCTCCAGATCTTGACTATCATTATCTTTTTGAAGTTGCTTGAGAATAGTCATAACCAATTGTTAACTAATATTTCTTTTTAATTTCAGTTGGTTTTCATCATAACTACTCACTCATTCTACAGCCATCAATAAACAATGCAGCTGAGAAATATAAAAAAAAAAGAAATTGCCTCACAAACAAGTAAAAAGGATGCAAATTTGCAGTTATTCCTTAATTCTGATGCACATCATCTACTGATGATTATTTGCATAGTTACTATGTTACATAATTACGATTTTGCATAGTTAGGATGATTAAAAACAAGAAACTGTTAGTGTTTGACAATATTTCATCTCTTCATGATTTCAATATAAGAATAAGCAGTTAATGCTCTTGAAATGTCCCAAGGATTCCAGGATTTTATGCAGAAAATGGTTATTTTAACTCTTAGGATTTCATGAGCATTGATAATTGTAGATTATTGTGAAAAGTTTGAGTATTAAATATTTTGTATTATATAAATCACTCTTTGATAGTTACATTCATTGTAACAAAAAGAAACAAAAATGAACAGATCTTCCTTTTGATTTTCAGGTTTAATGTTTCTTTCAGACAAAAAGGAATAGATAACCATCCATGTCCTGTCTCTCTCATTTCTTGATCGTCTTGAACCCAAGTTGCTCACAATCAGTTAAGATGAAATTTTTTCTTAATCCAAAAATATTAAATATTCCAATTAGAAATCTTGTAGTAATTTTTCCCAGTTGTGAGTGTGAGTCTGTGCTCATCAGTGAGAATTGAATGAAAAAAACCAAAGGCTCAAAATAACTGTTCAACAGCTTTTATTTGTAGTAGAAAGGGTGCAAAATAGTGGGTTTTCCCAGTTAACAAAGTTCTTGAGTAGATGTTTTGTAGAGAGAGATTTCTCTGCTTGTTCCCATGGGAAGAACAAGAAATCTGAACATGAAACTGCTAGAATTGGTATGAGTCTTCTGCATCAAGGGTTGTGTGTAGTTTTATTTTGGGTAGGTTCATTGAATAGAGATTTCTCCACCTGTTCCTATAAGGAATGAGAAAATCTGAAGTCAAGTTGCCAGAGCCACATGTCTTCTCCAGTAAGGGTTGTGAGTAGCCCAAGCTGTGCTTGAAGGTAGAATCTACTGAAATGGAAAAGTGTGAAAGAGGCCGAATAGGGCTCTGTCAGCATTTTTATGGGTTCTGGGACTTCCAGTTGTATCTTGCTGATTACTTCCATTGCTGAATCCAGTAAGGAAGCCTCTACATGCCACAATAGCCAACAAAAGAGAGTTTCTATAATCTACCTTCCTTTTTTTATGTAGTCCATTGCACATTTATTATTTAGACTAATTTTTCTTCTTAGTTTTTAATTAATTTTTCAGTTGATGTCATCTTCAAGTGTCTAATGTAGAGTTAACTCTCTCCTGGTCCTAGATCTTGGTGACAAAGATTCTTGCAAGTAACAGTAACTAACTCTACTTATGCTTGCTTATTGTTTTAAATATATTTTTTCATTTAATTCATCTTGACAAAATTTTGTGGAGGTTTTGTCTGTATATCTCTAAAAGTTAGAATTGTTTGTGAAATCTTGTAATCAAAAATGTGGCATAAATGTAAAATACAATATCTGGAGTATTTGGTCAATGCTACAGATACCAGGTGCAACTTGGATTCTCCTTCTCTCAGTAAAAGAAGGTGGTGCTGTCTGAAGTCCGTTATCCCTGGTCATCACTTACCCAGCAAACTAAGGCAGTAAGAAATTATTACTACTACTACTACTAACAATTGAAAAAAAAAAATATTAATAAATCAAAATACAAATACTCCCAGTTGTCGATGAATGACAAAAAAAAAAAAAAAATGCTCAGCCAATAAAAGCAAAAGAGAAAATACAATTTGGGGATATTGGCTACCACATTTGTCGGAGAGTGAGTTATTTTTCTGACTGGTTACATGCATTGTGATTTGTGAGATAGTACCTGCGAATTGAGTTTTCAGCATTTTTTTCTGCCCCTGATGTTTGAGTCTGAACTTACGGTGATTTGTAATCGGCAATAAATATTTCCTTTGCAATCCCAGATCACTTACAGTTATCAGTCGTGACCTGGCATCTCAGCTTCACTCATTTTCCCACTGACTTGTTTTTTTTTCTATAAATATTTTCATGACAATTGTTCTAAAAGTTTCTATTCTCACACTTCTTGTGAAACATGATCTTAAGTTTAAATGCCACATCAATCATCAGCTTCTGTCTTTCTGAATACCATTCTTTTATTGTCCTCTCTAGCATTCTCTCATTTAATTTCACTCAGTAAATAACCCCTTGACCTTGCTTGGGGGTGAGAAAAAAATAAAACAAAAAACATAAAAGGCATTAATTCTGATTCACAGTGCTAGTGAAAAATTCTTGTGTAACAAATGGAAGTATGGCAATGAAGAGGTTCTGTATTTTTTTGGAAAACATATGTAGGTTTGATAAGGTCAAAGTGGCAGCTGTTTTAATAATCTGCTGTTAATTTTAATGCCTCCAAAATGAAACTGTTCTCTGTCAATCATCTGAGAGACCCTTTGATTCTGCATATCCAGAGAATCTGCCATGTTATTGGTCCTGACATCTTGCTTTCAATCACTTTCCCACTGCTGTAATGTAGCCTTATTGTCTTTTTTTCTATAAATCCATTACATAGAGGGAAAGTTCATCAGAACAATTACTAAGGTGCCTAGTTGCAGTACCAAATTGGCGGGATGTGCAGTAAAATCAAAGAGCCAAGATCAAATCCCAGTAGAGTTCATTACAATCACTTATGTGCAATAAAATGGGTTCTATAGTCGTGGTTGGTAACCAGTCTATTGCAGAAAGAAATTCTCCTGCCTCGTCAGTCAGATGACTGATGAGAATGGCAAAAAAAAAAAAAAAAAAAAGTATCATTTTACAATTGAAATGGCTAGATGTAAGTTCTATGGTCACAGTTACTTTTCTCACTTGTGGAACTCTCTTCCAATTTCCTTCCCAGTCATCTTTGATCTTCAAAAAATTAAATGCAATATAACACTTAGTAACTGTGTTTCAGTTGCTTTATTGCCTTACTTGGGGTGAAATGATTAAAAAAAAAAAAAAATGAAATGCCTGAATCCTGTTTTTCATTAAGTTGAGAAAGAGATGATTTCAGCTTTAAATCAAAGTAAGACAAGCATTTAAAGTTTGTAAGAATTTATTACTTAAATTATGATTATGTGTTATGAAATGAAAGTTGTCCCAAGCACTCATGTGATGAAATGGTTGCGATGAAATTGGCTATAAAATTTCAGTAGTCAATCTCTCCAAGGTAAACCTTTTTATCACTAGAACAGGACATGACTGAAAAAGAAAAAAAAAAAAAAAAATTATTACTAACAAGTACATAAGTAACAATTATTTTCAACGTTGTAAAAGTATAAAGAAGAGTTATTTCCCTTATACTATTATGTATAGTTACTTCCCTTTAAATGGTGAACCTGAAGTTATATCCAGTAGGTGTTTGGCTTTCATGAAGATTTTCTAAGCGTAGCGTAGATGGGGAACCCAGCAGTAATAATCGAACTCATCAATATAACGAAACATGCTTGCTAACCAATTATACTATGTCAAAGTGCCCTATCACACACACAACTTTAAGGGTTCATGGTGATTATAATTCCTCAGATCAACATTTTCATACAAATAAATGGGTGACAAGAATTCAATACTATTATTTTTAATTTATGCACACATGTGTTTGAGAAGGCAGAAGGAAATACATGTCTCTCATCTTCCACTCCCTCAATCACTTTTTCCTTTCAAAATATATATCTCCTTTGACCCCCCCACCACCAATTTAAACCTGCCTCCTCAAATTAAAAATAATACTGAATTCTTCTTACACTTGGAATATTTGTCTGAAAATGTTGATCTGAGGAATTAGAATCAAATTTTGATTCTAAGGAAAGAAATAAAAATGCCATGACCCCTTAAAGTTGTTGGTTTCTTAATATAATTAATATTTGCTCTGTTTTTACATTAAGCTCTCTGATCCATACAGATTACCAAACACATCTTTACATATATATAATTTTGATATCTCACTATTTTGAGAGAATGGGTATCATCTTTGCTTCCAGTGGAAAAAGTGAAATTAAATTTTTTTCCAAAAAACCTGAATATTTACTTGTGGTTATGAGTCGTCTTTGAATTTTACTTAAATGTAACTTTATATTTTTTTTTTTAAATTTACTGATATTTCTCCTTGTCACATGCCCTGTTAATGATACAATAAGAAGATTTACTTACTGATGGGTTCATATGGGTGAAAATCTACTTCATTTACAGATCCTGCATGTCCAGGTAACTTGTATAAAACCTGCCGTGATGTTGTATCCCAAATATACACAAATCTGTCACCAGAGCCAGCAGCTACTTTACGGCCATCTGTTGACCATGAACAACGAAGCAAGTTCTTAAAGAAAAAAAGAATTTTTTTAATGTTAGAAGTGCAAAATATTAAGGATAATTTTATTATTATTCATAAGAGGAAAGGTCAACATAATAAAATCAGTTCTATTTTTTTTTACCAAAAATTAATATTCAAAGTATTCACACCAAACAAAATACTCACTTTCTCAAAACTGTGCTGATGTCCCTGAAGAATTTTAACACATCTTTCTTGAGGAGCAAAAGGTCTAACATCCCAAATTCTCACTTAAAAATAGAATGAAATTGAAATTTATTAAATGATAATAGTTATTATTTATTACTGAATTAGGTAGAGTTAAATAAGCAAACTTAAATCTCACCATGATGTTTGACTTTAATAATATAATGAATTTATTTTTGAAGCTTTCAATTTTTTTTTTAATAAAAAAAAAAAAAAATGTACTGAAATATTTAGATACCATAACAGTTACACAATTCAGATTTTAAAAAATACACTATACTCCTACAGAATTTGTAAATCAAAATGATAGATACTCACAAGTACTATCCATGCCATTTGATAAAAGATATGAACCATCTGGACTGAGTTCTAATCCAGTCAATGTATCTGTATGTCCTCTTAATCTGTATAAAATGTCATTCTTTCGTAAATCCCAGACCTTGATATCATTATCAATGCCACCAGAAATTATTTGCTCAGCTGTGTCACTAAATGTTACTGCTGTAACCTGGTAAACATTCTGAAAAGTCTGTACAGCACCTTTTTTACGAGCATCCCAAAGCTGAAAAGAAAATTTTTATTTTTTTTTTAAAGAAAAAAAAAAAAAAGGTCTTACTTCAAGCTGTAAAATGAGAGAATTCAAATTTTTATGTATGTATTTTAAGCATATTTTAGAAATATTTGTTCAGGTAAGTTTTGGCAGAAAGAAAATGTTCATAATAAAAAAAAAAAAAAAAGTATAGAAAATATGTCTGGAAAGTTCTGTTTTTGTTGAAGGAATATCGGAGAGATAGAAAAAACACAAGTACTGGTGAAAAAAAAAAAAAAAAAAAAAGCACAACAATGAAATCCATTTACTGCTCAACAACATGTGAGAAATAGATATTTTAACAGCAATTAAAAAACAAAATCTTGGTATAAATGAATAGAATACCACTATATGGTCAACCTGGGTAATATATATATATATATATATAAAAAAACAAATATATGTACTAAAGAATCCTCTGTAACAAGCTGATTAGAAAGCGCCTAAGACTTATACAATAGATTAATACCACAGATGTCATCAATTGGTTTAATGACAGGAATGATAAAAGGAATTGTTCATTTATCCAGTTTGATATTGTGGATTATTACCCATCTATTTCCAGGGGATCTTTTTGCTTTGGAATTTGCCAGGGAGTACTCTGATCTTTCTAACAAGGAGCTTGACATTATTATGAACCGTAGAAGATCTGTTTTCATCCATAACAAAGAACAGTGGATTAAGAATAACTGTTGACCAATTCAATATTTCCATGTGATCGTTATACTCTGCTGAGTCTTCCGACCTTGTTGATTTATTTATCTTATATAATCTTAGTGCCCACCAAGATATCAATATTGATGACATAGGGTTATATAGAGATGATGGGTGTTAATACATAGAGAATTTAAAACTCTCAACCTTAAAGTTAAGATAAACACTAATTTAAAAAAAAAAAAAAAAGTAGATTTCCTTAATGTTACATTAGACCAAGTTAATAATGCATTCCAACCAGACATGGAAACAAATGCCAATCCAATATATATCCACCCAAATTCTAACCACCCTCCATCCATAATCAAACACATACCATTCTCCATAGAATTAGCAATAACTCTTCCAGTGAAGCTGTCTTTTACAAGCACGGTAAGTTTTATAACACTGCTTTAAAAGTGGCTATAAGTTCCCTGACATAAAATATATAAATTACAGCAGCGATAGTAGGAATAAAAATAGAAACAGAAAAATCATTTGGTACACCCCCCCATTTCACCAAATGGTTAGTACTAAGAAGTTAGGGCAGAAGTTTCTCCATTTAATTGAGAAACACTTACCCAGAAATAATCCACTTAGTAAGATTTTAACTCAATCCGAAAACGTGTAGTAATTACCATGCCAAAACAGTAAACACAGATAATACCAACAAGTGTAATTGTAGAAATTCTTGTTTACCTAAGCATTAAACTTTGATTTCAGGAGTACCAAGAATTCCTTTAAAACTAATATATTATCTTTCACCAATAACTTGTACAAAAATAGAACATCCTTAAAAAAGTTAAAACCCCTATGATAAAATGAGGGGGAAAAAAAAATAGAACTTGTAAATCTTTAAAATGAACCCTGCTTATGTTTATATGAAAAATTACAAATAATCAAATTTACTGACAAAAAAAAAAAAAAAAAATCCCTCTTAAAACAAAGGAGTGAATTAACTATAAATTGCCAACACAGTTTATCTTTTACCTTAAAATATAGTTAAATTTCAAAAAAAAAAATTTTTTTTTTAATTACCATTTCTTATAGCCATAATTTATTAGTATATAATGGTCCACCCTCTACTGGTAATTTTGTTTATTCAGCTTAAATATTGATATGTATTGCCATTCAGTTAGTATTATTAATATCACGTATAGATGTTCCACATTTTTAATTTTATTTACAGGCCCTTTAAGAAGCTTCGTGAATATAAAAACAAATTTTATCTGTTAACTTTATGTCTGAATTATCCACCCCTCCCTTCAACGAATTGTACATGCCATGTGTCTACAATCACAATACATTCGTCGCTGGTATATTTTCTGATATCATCAATGACGACATGTCCATGTCCCGATTTATCATGACATGAGAAAATAACTCACCCACCTCCACCCTCTGACCATACTTTTGTATTTAGTGTAGATCTGACATTTAATTGGTTAATCAAGACATACCCACAAGTCTATTTTTAATTGACATTATGCCCCACCCACCTTTAACTTTCAGAAAAGAGGTAACACTTTGTTTTTAAATTTCCTTAAAAATCATTTAATCACCAGTTATTTACCATTGCCTGAAAATATATATATATATATATATATATATATATACACACACACCTAATTTACTGCCCAATCTTTTGGAAAAAATACCTTCATTCAATATGGGTTTCTTTGAACATCCCAATATTGTAGACATTCAATCAAATCAAATGTAAATGAAATTATATAAATACTTGCATTTTAAGTATTACAAGAAATACTTCATAATGCAAATGTATCACAGGAGTGAAATGCTAGCCCAATCTAATGGCCATAAGTGAAAGCAAAAGAAGAAATCGCAGTAAAGCTATCCTTGCAACACTAACCTTGATTGTTCCATCATCAGCTCCACTGCAAATCAACTGTGGACCTCTTCGAGCTGGATTGCAACTGTTAACAAAACCTTGATGACCTTTGAGTTTCTTTATTCGAATTCCAGTATCAACATCCCAAATGGCTAAATTCTTATCTGTTGATGCTGTAAACACCTGGCTGAAATTTAAAGACAATATTTCCAAATTATTTGAATGCAAATATCAAAATTTATTTCATGCATACAGACACACAATATAAATTCAATTGATTTTTGTTGAATACTGGATATCCTGAGGACAAAGCCTCATACAGTGTAATGTTTGTTTTTTTTACTTATTAAAAAATTGACAACTATACATGTAACTGTTTCAAGGTAAAACCATGTACACAATAGAATAGATTATCCAAATTTTTATATATATATATATATATATACATACATTGCATGTAAAAGAAAAATGTAATCATTATTACTACTACAATACAACTTTGTATATTTTCCAGTGTTCATTTTCTAACAGCAAACACTTTGAAAGCACTTGGGATAATAATCACTATGGACAGTCTCTATACACTATTAGTCCTTATAAAAGGAAAAATAATAACATTAGAAAAAAAAAGAAAAGAATAATGAAGCATATAAAACAAAGATTGCTGCCCATACATATATAAAATCTAATTTATTTTCAATTTACTTAAAGTAATTTCTTTTCCAAAATGTATGCAGCCATTTTTAATATCTACAAAAATTAGTTGCACATTCTTGATGAAATTGAGTAACGAATCAGGAGACCTTTATTCTATAAGTGTAAACAGATACTCTCCCATGGAGTTACTCATTCTGCATTGACCAAGTTTATTTACTGTTTGGCCATCGTATCCACAATCAATGAGTAGATCAGCAAAATCCCATACAGAGATACTTGCGAAAGCTTTGTTAATTTTCATAAAGAATCATCTAATTTTATTTGATCAGATTCTTATTTAAATATTTTAATGACAAACTCACTCATTAAATTTTCACAAAATGTGTCTAAAGAAACATTACCTGCCATCTGTGGAAAAGTGTAATTCCATAACTGCTCCCGTATGTCCACGCAGAACCCCAAGATTGTCACATTCATCATAAACATTCCAAAATACTGAAAAAAAAAAAAAAAAAAAAAGTTTTTTTTGGTTCTTTTTTAAATTAGCAGTCAAATAAGCAGAAACTAACTTTGCAAAAGTAATTAATGTACACATTTATTTTTACTTCCTCTAATAGAAATATTTTTTTTTTAGTATTATACTTAAGTACAATACTATCGTAGGTAAGTATATGCAAAACTGTCAAAATAGCTAATGTTCCATAACATCAAGCATATATGGCAGTGAATGCAAGACAATTTACTCATAGGAAGAGAAGACTCAAAGCAACAGATGTGATTCTAAAGAAAGATACTGAAAATACCAGGGACAGAGCATGGAAGTGATAAGGAAGTTTTAAGGAAAATGGATTAATTGAATTGTTTTTTGCAGGTTATTTAAAGCCAGAAAATATTTTTTCCATTGTAAGTGTTGCATCCTTAAAGAGGTTACAGACAGACAAAGGTGGTACTCAAGTGAAGGAACAGCAACACACACACATAGATGAAAAACAGAGGTTTATTGTAAAAGAGAATACACTACTGAAAGACAGGGAATCAGAGTGCTCACTATATATAGCTATTGTTATAGTCAGTCCACATGGGTGATAGGGAGTGTGGGACATTCCATTACAACAGTAAGAATTTTTAGTAGATAATGATTTACTGATACAAGTCCTACTAATTAACACCTAGCTGGGGGAGAAAAGGTGGTTACATTTCCTAGTATTTGAGCATAAGTGAGTATAACAAACCCAACCACAATGAAACTTGGCCCTCCCATCTCTAATTTTGAGTGTTATCCATTACACCACCTGATATTCTCAAGCAATCACCCATCTAGGTAATGACCAGGCTTGACATTGCTAAACTTGAGTTATTGTAAGAGAATCAGTGTTTCAATGTGATATAGCTGTAAGCCTTAAGGGAAATAGAAACAAAAAGGACAATTATACATAAAATCAGAAAGAGACAGTTGAAATTTCGACACAAGGAAAGCGAGCTTGGAGAATTGGACACTCAAAAGGAGGGAACAGTTAAAAATTCAAATTTTAAAGTAAATGAAAAAAAATTAGTGATTTTTAAAGGTTTTAATTTATATTGAGTTTAAAGTAACACAAAAAACTTATTTAAAAATTTTTGTTTTAAATTCAGTTTAAAATATCTCCAAAATTTTGTAAATTAAACAAATCAATTTAATTTCTTCAAAAGGCCAAGGAACCAGAGTTAAAGGTTTTATGACATGAGGTTTTGAAGTTCCACAAAGTTTGTGATTTGAAGAACTCAATTTTCAGTCCAAATTGAAAAATTCAACCCAAATCAGTTTTTTGGCTATAATTGGACTTATAGCTTGAATCAGAGTTAAAGTGAGGTTTTGAAGTTCCATGGAGTGAATTGAGGAATTCAAAGTTATTTCTTCAAAATTGTCATTGCTGTTTTCTAAGCTGGACTATCTCTTCTATCAGATATTGTCATTCAACTGTTATCACACAACTCATGGTAATCATTGGGTGCAAGGTCAATATCAGTTTGTAAATCATTTATGAAACAATTCTGGAATACCGTATGCAAATCATTCAGAAACAAAAGAAATATACATTTACTTAGCAAAAGCTGGATATGAGAGAATAACTGAAGCAACCAAAGATGAGTTTTTCCTATTTTCTCTCTTTTGATTTGAGTGAAACATTAAAGAGGCTTTTTATATACAAGTGAAAAAAAAGTTAGAATAACTTACATATCATCCGATCAAATCCAGAGGTAGCTAAAATGTTGCCATCTGGGGAGAATTTGCCAGTAAAAATATCTCCTTCATGTCCAGTGAGAAGCATTATTGGTGCCTCAAGCTTAGAAGTTCGATGAATACCCTGCAACACAAATGAAAAATGAATATGGAAAGAAAAAGAAATGAAAAATATTGATGCATTATTTTTCAGACTATGTTCCAAATATTTGGACTAAAAAGTAATATTCATGTAATGATGAATGTTTATTAAAAGAAAAAATTTGTTCAAATATAATGGAGAAGTTCTGGAGAATTTAACTTTCTCACAACATTAAAGAGAAAGAATAGGGAAATCACAAGTAACCTATTTAATGACCTACAAGTTTGAGTGAATGAATAGAAAAAAAAAAAAAAGGACAAAGAGGGATAGTAAAGGATCAAAAATTATTTAGAGCAACAAAAGACAGGAAATTGTGGAGAGCCATTATAGCCCATGTTCTTAAGAGATATGGCACTTAGAAGAAAAGGAATAAACTTTCAGTTAGACTTTGGCTTCATTCCAACATTTACTTGGGCTTCCACATAAATTTAAGGTCTTATTTTTTATGGTCTGGAGGAGCATTACCATCATAAAATGTTTCTTCGGTTTTTGTCCAATGACATTAAAAGCATTTACTTTTAACAACTAAATTTTTAGATATTTTATTTTCTTAAAACTGGTGAATTTTTCTCTATTCATTTTAATGTTGATGAACAAAGTGACATTTTTGGCACATTATTTTTATTTAAAGAAGGGGAAAAAAATGTGACTTCAATGCAAAAAGGTTTCTGTAATTCATAATCAAAGTATAAGAAATGAAGATCTTTCATTGAGCTTTTCCAGTAAGATAGACCACTTGAGATTAACAATGACCAAATCAAGACATTAATTGAGAATAATCAATAACACAGGAGAAATAGCCAATACAATAAAAAGTCTAAAAATCAAATGTTGAAATTTGCACCAATTTTGTTATGCTACTTGCCATGATATTATCTACCTACCTACCCACCAATAACATGGGACTCTTCTGTTGCTTTTTCATGTAGGAGGGTCCAGCTGCTCAGTTCCTAAAACCAAATAGCCAGACTACCTGCACATATGATTTCATTATAGTGGTGGAGGCTTGTGCAGAACCAACCTTGCTTTTTGGAAGAAGCAAATATAGAGAACTGGTGCACAGTATGCCACAAGGTCCCCAAATGATCTTCCTCGGGTTTTGAATTCAGAGTTGTCCTTCTAGACAGGTAGATTTGTTACCACCCAAGGGTATAAGACCCAGTCTGTCTTGCTATTTGCTGGGAGAGGGACATCAATGTTGCGATCTATTATTCCACTATGCCATAAATAAGAATATGAATCTTTCAGGATACAGTATTTCAATGTTTCATTTTCAAGACAAATTGTGACAAAACAATGAAAAGTGGATATATTTACAACCTGAAACATAAGAGATTGTAAAGCAACTAACACTAATTTTACCAAAGGCCAGTAAGTAATATTCCTCCAAAAGAAAAAATAATCTGGTGATGTGTATCCAGTAGGATATTGGAATTGTATCCTCTACAATAATTTCCTTCAGGAAACTAAATGAATAACTAGTTTCAAAGTATTTCATTTCTTTGGAGCTTGGTGGACGTTTTGACATTGTCATCATTTTTGTGATATTTTAGTTCAAACACTTCTCCAGCAATGCAGTAGCATCGATAATTTATCCAAATCACAACTAATATCAGAAATGAACTTCCAATAATTAAAAACTGCAATTTGTTTACATTTTTACAAGAAATTTTTGGAAGTTGATTTTTATGGATGTATCTTTTCATAAAAAATTTTATTTGAAATATTCACAAAAATGGACATAGATCTAATATAAAGAAAGTTCATACATTTTAGTAAGTCTTATAATTCAAGGTTTTCAGGAGAAAAAGAAGTACAGATATAATAACCTCAAGAAACTGAATATGTAATTTCAGTTGTCAGTGGGTCTTTTGATCTCTAGCCACTTTGTTAATACTAGATTGTCTCTGTGTTCCATATCACAGAACTTGTCAATGTAGAAAACGAAAATCATGGAAAACGGAGTTTTACTACTAAAAAATAAAATCCAAACAAACAAAAAAAAAAAAAAAAAATAGAAAGAAGAAAAAAGTTATTGTGAAAATCAGAGCCTTTTTTATTTCTAAATTTACCGTACTATCAGCATAAATATAGTTTGTACTTTGTGGTAGGTCTGCCAAATCCAATTTCATCACTTCATATATTCTAATGATAAAATGTCAGATTCCTCAGCTGGAGGTCAATAGAATCATTATTTTGCATAAATTTGCAATACACAACAAAGTCAGTCTACAACCTATATTGCTGCAACATGTCATTCTATAAATAACATCAGGTATTTTCCACCACTGGTCCCAGTACTATGCAAAGGCCATAACCTAATTCATGATAGTAACCTGACCAAATTGGTCACCACAGGGCAAATACCCACATGCAATATTAGCATATGGATAGCATGGCACGCACCATCAAGGGTAGTAAAAATAAAAGTTGTTGCTTGTTTAGTAATTAAATTAGATTCTTAAATGCCAGTTTGATTACCTTTCACAATGAGTAAACAAAAAGCTAGCAAATGTAGTGGGTGCGCACTACAAAATTCAGAGCTCAAGAGACAGCTTTCTGTGATGATATTTATCATGATGGTGATAAATTATTCTGCAGTTTTTGCTAACACACAAGTCTCTGTTTTTCATGTTTTTTTATGATTTTGAAACAAACAGAAAATGGAAATTTACTGTCACAGAAAAACACAGAATTTTGTCCTCATCTTTGCTCAGTTATTGCTAGCCAAATATGACAGCAAATCTTCGATTACAGCAGCTAAAAAAAAAAAAAAAAACCTTCAAGGATGACAAACAGCAACAGCACTCATCAGCAGGCAGGTTAGGTTAGGTTGAAGACTCCAAGTTCTCCACAGAGAAATGTCCCACAAGACAATAGCCTAGTGAATTAAAGTGCTGGTTTGTGAATTTGGAGACAGTAATTCTGAGTTCAATCTCTAGGCTCAGTGGAAACATGGCAATCCCTAGACACAGGCAGTGGAATGAGAACAGTTTATTAAATAGAGGATTCATTTTGTAATTCGCCATAGGTTACTCAAAACAACATACACCTGATAAAAGATGGAGTGCACAGAAGTCTAAATGTTGTGATAACAACAACAAAGATGAGGACAATAATCCAAACATAAACAGTGCCAATAAAACCAAGCAACTACAGAAATTTATAACTATCTGGAAAATGTAGTAACAGACACAGAAATTCAAGAATAATCCACAGAATTACAAAAGGTATCTTTAAAAAACTAAGCAAAGTATTAAGAAGTAAGAAAATGTACCCAGAAACAAAGAAAAGATTGCTGAACTATCACCTATATGGTAGTGAATGCTGAACAATCTCCTTACAGATGAAGAGGAGATTTGAAGTAACAAAAGATGTGGTTCTATCATCAAATACTAAGAATACCACAAACAGAACATGTGAGCAATGTGGAAATTTTAAGGAAATTAAGATCTCCAAAGAAATTTATATTTAATGAGAGAAAGATGAAGTTTCTGGAACATACAGTGAGGAAAGAGTGCCTGAAGAATTTAACACTCACAACATACTGAAAAGAGGATGAAAAGAAAAACAGTAAGTAACCTCCTTGTCAGTTTGAGTGAATGAATGGCAGGACAGGAACAAACGACAATGGTAATCTTAGTAGTTTCCTTTAAGGAAACTGCAAGCATTCTTTGACTGAGCAGCCAGTACTACTTTTGGTTGAAATTTATAAATTTCCTCTTTTAAAACAATTTTTAAAGAAAACTTGTTCAAGTCCAGTAACTGTTATTGCTCTTTCCAGTATTGATGAGGCCTTCCTTCCTTCCTAACCTTTTATTTGAAATAGTACAGAACATCAACATCTTGATTATGTCATTATTTTCTCAAGTTAGATGTGATATCCATTTTTGCTGTTGCTGCTGTTAAAAGTCCTCAAATGATGTGGTTTCAGTCGCTCAAAGCCATTATTAACCACTGATCTTAGAAAGCAATTGTATACATCTGACAGGTAGATAAAGGGTCAAAGTTACTTTGAGCAATAAAAGATAGGAAGCTATGGACAGCCATAGCACATAAATGAAGGCTGACAATTTGCTATAAAACTTTGTACAGGGTGCGATAGGTAAATTGTCGCTATTTTATACTTTTAATTTCACACATACACGTTTTGTCTTTGACCTTGTTGACTGCACAGTATAATAGGGTTACAGTTGGTCAAAAAAAGAGCACTATGAGGAAAAAAAAAAAGCACCATGATGCAAGTCACTCCACCAGGAATTTGGAAACAGCATGCTGTACTGCTTGGCATTCGTGCAAGAAGCTCCAAGACGAACATTTCAGAATGTTTGGGTGTCAATCTGAGTGCAGAGGATTTAGAAAAGATGATATATATATATATATTAGATGATATATATATATATATATATATATATATATATAGAGAGAGAGAGAGAGATATCTCCAGTCACCATCATGGTGCTTGGAGTGATCACTAGTAATGGCAACATTATGCCTCCATTCATCTTCCCACTTCCATTCAATATGGATGACTACATCAAGTGCCTTGAGGAGGTAGTGCTGCTCTGGGTCTAGAGAGTGGCTGCTGGAAGACCCTATATCTAGCAACAGGACTCTGCACAATGTCACACAGCAGGAGAACCCAGTCATGGCTGTCAGACAGTTTCTGTGACCACATCACTTCTTACATCTGGCTACCTAACACATCACACTGCACTTTATTATGTGCGGGGAGTAGTTGAGCAAGAGTCCAACAAAACTCCTTGTAACACCAAATATGAGCTGAAGGCAAGGATTATAGCAGCATTCACCAACTTAAACAAGGAGACAGTCTAGAAAAGTTGCAGGAGATTCAGAAGTCGTCTGGAGGCCGTGGTTGAAGCCAATAGCGGTTTTATCGAATAAATCTACTCTTCAGTATTTCAAGATATTTTTGTGTCATTTTCATTTTTGCGTAATTTAGACGACAATTTATCCATCGTACTCTGTATGTTTTCTTTCAAGCTACAAACAAGAAAGCTTTTCTCAAACCAACAACAAATAGCTAAATTGAATTCTGTTTATGCCACGTGATCCGTTTTCTACTACCTTCACACATTTTTAAGTTTACCTTATATTTCATTTTTGGCGCCTGTTGTTTTTTTCTTTGTCTTTTTAGTTAGTCTTTTTGTACGGCTTTTTAACATTCCTCTGAAAATTTACAAGAGATTTATTTTATTAAATTTTCCATCTTACTAACTGCACTGCTGCCTTCCCAGCTGACGTTGGTTTTCTTAGTATGCTTCAGTACACAAGTTTTTAGTCGTTTCCGGTTCTTGTTTCTGAAAAATAGGGAGTGAGTCTACCAAACGCAATGCACTTCTCGTTTGTGGAACTCCCCTCCGGCCCCATGCTTTCCAGCCAATTTTAACCTTCAAAAAATTAAAAATGCAATCTACTGTCCTCCTGATTACTCTTTCTTTTTGTTCTCACTCATTAATAGTGTTTAATTCTTCCACACCCAGCAGTAACCCCTTTTGTGTCTTATTGGCTTTACTACCGACTTACATGGGATGAAACCGATTAAAAAGAAACATAAGCAGCACATGGATTCTGTTTTCTAACGTAACTGCAAAGAGAGGAAACTTCTAAAGTACAGAAAATAATCTTTTACCACAGAGTACTTAAGTGGGAAATTATCAATAAGTCACCGTATTCCCTAGGTCATTGCGCCTTCCGGTGACCGTTTAATTTTAGTCTTTACTTTACACTACAGAATTAAAAAGCATCCACAGCAATTTTTTTTTTTTTTTTTACCTGCGGGGGGTGTAATTATGAAATTGACAAAAATGAAACAGGATGGTATGTTCAATAGCGGCGCGATAATTCTTTTCATAGACGAAAGAACGAACTTTTTTGTGCTTAAGCGAGATGAAGTTGTATTGCAATTGCATAAACGAAAACAAATAAATTCAAAATGATTTTTCTTAAACAAACGAATAACAATCTTTAGTTTAAATTTTTACTCATGTGATTTTTCTCGTGTCAATTGCAAAACGATACTAAACAAATATAGAAATATGTTTTTTCTTTCAAGAATTAACGGATAAATGTTGAAAAAAAAAAAAAAAATTTTTAAATAATTCTTTAAAAACAAAAATAAAAAAATTAAGCAATTGCTTGTGGACTTCCATGATTGTTTAATAATAAATAAACTACACGTGGTCCCAACATTAAAAAAAAAGGTTTGTAGCCTTTCAACAATAATTTTTCAATTAACAAACTGTACAAAAAGGTCAAATTAGTTTTTCTCGACTTTTATGAAAATATGCGAACTAATTCGTGCAGTTTGTTCTGAATAAAAAATATCAGGATTAAATAAAATAAGAACCAGACTTCAAAATAGACTCCTTCTGCAAATATATTTTTTAAATAGT